GTTTAATTTCTTTTGATTATGAATTAAAAAGTAATGTTAGCGTGCTGACATGAAAGCTTATAAGCACTGAAAGCAATGATAGACACAGGATTGGGTGATAAATGCATGCTTTGTATGAGCCAAATCATTGCACAGTAATTACAGCAGCAAAGACGAGCGACTCTTTCATCTCGCCATCTATGGATTTCTCTTCATGCCAGGACTCCAGTTCGTCCCACCCATACAGCCCTACTTTATCCACTCATCTACAACAAAGAGACAATCCTACGACTCACACAGCAGAGTGCAAACACAGGTCAGTGCCTGGGGTGAAGAGTCAACAGTGAAAGAGGCGCTACCCGACCCGAATATGTAGTCTGTTTAATATCAGCGAGAAAATTGCTTTGGCTGTAATACGTTGAGGTAATTTCACATTTAATCAATTTTACAAAACACAGTTGGCCCAAAAGTATTCAGACACTTAAGCCTCACTCAAAAATGTATGAATTTATTGGTATTCGATAAGAAAATATCCAACCAAGTGACCAAATTTGGAAGAAATAAAACATACTTTAGAACCCAAACATTTCACAATACAAAACCTATAGCTGTTTAATTACAATAGATTTATTCTTAAGACAAAAACTATTTGTAAACGTTGTGTTAAATGTTAGTGGATCATGTGGTTACTTTGACAGGATACCTGCTTGAACATCCCACCAGAACAGTTGATTAAAAGCCAAAAAAGACAGAATTTCCAATACATACGCATTATGATATCATATACAATATATGCTAAAAATTTCTGATTAAAAAAAAAACACAAAAAAAACTCCAGCATCCTTTAGAGATGCCACTTGGTTTATTTTATTCGATGCTATGAAATACATTTATTTTTAAATGTGACTTAAGTGTCCAAATACATTTTGAGGCCAGTGTATGTTTTATATAGATAATAAATGAATGTATTAAATCCATTACTGGGATTTTGTTCTTTAACAAGGCTTCCTGTTCTATGAAGCACCCCATGAAGGTACTTCACTGCATCTGTCTTTAACTGATTCTCACTTGAATGGGCTTTTATTAATCAAAAACTTGCTTACAGCGGAGCTTTTCATCCAAGGTCCCACGTGAGGTCACAGACAGGGCCTGAATAAACTCTGAGAACTCAATCCGTCCATCCTGTGAAGATAGATGATAGATAGATAGATAGATAGATAGATAGATAGATAGATAGATAGATAGATTTTATTAAATATTATTTATTATATATTTTGATTTATAGCCTACTAATACATTTTAACACTAATGAACCCTGTTAAATGTTGTAAAAACTATTTTTCATAGTTTGTTCATGATGTCTAATGCACCTTATTGTAAAGTGTTACCCAGAAGCTTTCTGTTGATTGGCAGAGTAAAATGGGCCAGTGGGCTGCTATTCCTGTCCCACCCCCTGCTCTTTCTTGAGGCTACAGGCTGGCACCACCAGCCATTACAAAATGCATTCTGTTGCCAAATATCCAGCAGATACGTTATGACACATTTTATGATTTGTCTACTGAAACCTCTCTAGAGCAAGAGAGGTAAATGAATGCAGTTTCATGTTATTTATTTAGTACACAGCTTTAAACTCTTCCAAAATATGTCTCAAGGGGTGGAAACGCTCAACCTGGTTGTTCAAACCTTACTTTATTGTGTGAATTTTTATGATTTATGACTAGGCACTGTGTTTTCTGTCATCTTCACTTCAGATTAGTTAGCTGGTGAGCTTGAGGAACGTCTGAAGAGGCATTAACAAAGACAGACAGCATTTAGTTCCTGTGAATAAAATTATCCAATCAAAGAATTGTTCCACTGGTAAGCTTTCACACCCAGGTGACCCTGCCTGATTTGCAAGTGTTTATTTTTGCAGTGTATTATTTCAGACTGAACTGTTCTTGAACTGCAGAGTACAAATAGCGTGTAAAAAAATAAAACTGTAATTATGCATGTGATGTCAGCAAATAGACTATATACTAAAGGCTCTCTATACACAAGCAAAAACCCCAGCAAGGTTAAAAAAGTCTTAAAAAATTGTATTTAAAACAGAGACCTCAAGGCCCTTATAATACCCCAAAAAACAAACCAAACACTGACATATATAACTGATACTTAAAGGGGTCCTATTATGCTCTTTTACAAAGTCTTGATTTTGGTTTGGGAGTGTACTAGAAAAGACTCTCATACTAGGTTGTTCGAAAAACACATTATTTTTCACATATTTTACATTATTACAACACCTCTCTCCCCAGTCTGGCATGAACGGCTCGAATAGTTCCTGTATCAAATGAAGGCCCGCCTTCTGAAATACGAAATGTGCTGTGATTGGTTAGCTGGGCCAGTGTGTGTTGTGATTGGCAGCACTCGGCGCCTGGTCGGGAAATGTCATGCCCCTTACCATAGCCGCCTGCTGCGAGCTTCAGTGTAAATATTGCTCAAAATCAAATCAATTTGAGTGCGATTTAAACCTGGATGATTGTAACCACTCTAAGTCCGTCTGCCTTGGGAAAGCTAGTGTGTCTGCGACATAGTGATAACACTCGTTGCCTTCTCTAATGCAGCTCAACGAGGTCTCGTCCCATTCGTCAGTATTTGTGATATCACAAATCCTGGAAAATA